GCCGCATCGTTAACAGGTGCGCGCCGCATCGTTAACAGGTGCGCGCCGCATCGTTAACAGGTGCGCGCCGCATCGTTAACAGGTGCGCGCCGCATAGTTAACAGGTACGTGACGGGGGTCGTGAAGGCCACGACCTCCGATAGCGACGGAGCCAGTCGATTGTCCCGCCTGTCGCGACTGGCAGACAGCTCTAGCGAATTATTGTCGTTGCAGGATGTTTTCAAATGTGGTGCTTGGCCGCGAAGCATTGAAAACAATGTTAATGAGTTGCTATTTTTTTGCGATGCAGAATGGCTAAAGATGTAGACATTATAGACAACACTCTACCGATGAACTTCAGCCAGTTTTTGAGCATATTCTTCTCTGTGATGGGCGCTATTATTATCATTGTCATCTCCACCTGGTACTTCATCTTTGTGGCGATTCCACTGGGAGTGTTATACTTCTTCATACAGGTAATCAAGGGAAATTCTCACATATCTAGCTCAGTATAGTAGCAAGTTAGGTTAAGTCAACGTTAAGAAATCACGTTGAAAAATCGCCACTAACTGTGCTGGTACATGCTGATCGCAAGGCTCCTCGAGTCCAACTTTTACGAGGAGTGTATGCATATATTGATATGAACAAGAGCTAATAATATCCATGTATTATTAGGTCTTGATATGTATGATATCTTGATGGTTTTACTCAGGAGTGAGTGAGCGATTTGGCGTAGTCTGTAGAAGACAACATGTCCTCTCACAGAAAATTACCTGCCATTGTGCTGTCCTTGCTACTGCAAGGCTAAAAATATTACCATCAACATATATAACACACACACACATATATATATATATAAATTGGAGGGTGATTTACATTTCTGCTACTTGGTGTATAGATTTGTGTTTGAGAATTTATTTAATCAGAGTGTAAATTACATTTCTGCTACTTGGGTGTATAGATTTGTGTTTGAGAATGTATTTAATCGAAGGGTGACTTGCGTTCGTGCAGGTTGAGCTCTCGGCTGTCGACAGTAAGCTCGGGCGAAGACTCGCAGACTAAGCGCAAGATGTCGCGGCAGATAACTCGCGTCAAGTCTCAGATGTCTCGCGCAAAGTCTCAGATGTCTCAGATGCCGGACGGCGTGCCAGGCTTAGATTTGAACAAGCTGATTGAGGCGGAGGGGGTCGAGACTGGGCAGGTATGACGATCGGCGGATTCGTAAAGTATCGTGAAGTGCTGTTAATAAGTATTTGCACGTATATGCCCAAGTTTTCATTATACCCACAGAAAATCCAGTTTCATTTCATTTTAATTCCAATTCGGTTCGGATATGCGGAGAAATCGCCTACGAGAATCGACAGTCGAAAACGTCGAACAGATTCCACCTCGCCTATCGAAACTAAGGGCGCGTTTGTTTGGGACGAATCCGTCGGATCGCGATCATGTGATCCTGATCCGACCAAACAAACGCAAACTCGCTTTCAACAGTTCACGTTTCGCTGTGACCTATCACGGGATGGTTCATAACAATGAACAAGCTGTGATTGGCTGAAGTGCGGGCCACCATATTGGATCCCGTTCGAATCCACCTCGCTAGCAGGGTCGGGTTTGGTGGATCGAGATCAAGTGATCCGACCAATCAAACAGTCAGATCAACGAATCCATTCGATCGAGATCCGTGGATCCGACCAAACAAACGCGCCCTAAGATTGCGATTGGTAAATTCTGACCACGTCGAATCTTGCGTTTTCAGGTGAAGGCCACGATTTACCTCACGTACCTTCGCTACGTGTCGACGGCGCTCAGCATCACCATGGTCGGCTCCTTCGCACTGCAAAACGTCGCGAACGTCGCCTCCAGCCTGTGGCTGAGTGCGTGGAGCAACGACGAGCAGAACCCCGATGGGACGCAGGACATACCGCTGAGAAACATCCGACTGTCCGTGTATTCGGTGCTGGGCCTCGCCCAAGGTTGGTCTCGTTGTGGACATGTTTGTATGCATGCGCTCGTTTATTCAGTGCTGGGCCTGGCCCAAGGTTGGTCACGTTGTGGACATGTTTGTATGCATGCGCTCGTGTATTCAGTGCTGGGCCTGGCCCAAGGTTGGTCGCATCGTACACATGTGTGTATGCATGCGCTCGTGTATTCGGTGCTAGGCCTGGCCCAAGGTTGATTGCACTATGCACAAGTCTGTTTACATACACTCGTTTATTCGGTACTACGCTTATGCCAAGGCTGGTCGCATTACACACATATCAGTATACATACACTCATATATGCATTGTCAAGCTTAGGGCAGGGTTGGCCCTGATATGCATGCACTCATGTCTACATGTGTCCGTCTGACATCCATGCACATGCATTGTGAGATGCACATGTGTATACTGTTGACTTGTTCGAAAAAGCCGCACAGGTGGAGAGGATGGGAAAAATTTTTATTTACGATTCAGAGTATCGTCCGTACTACCGTACTACCACCTCGTACGTTTACCGTATTACAGTAGTACCACCTCGTACGTTTACCGTATTACAGTATTACCACCTGGTACGTTTACCGTATTACCACCTGGTTCGTTTACCGTATTACCACCTGGTAGTAATATATAAAATCACATATGTGTTGTTAATATGTTGATGGTCACAATTTTTACCTTGCATAGCAAGGACAGCACCAAGCAGTCATTTCTGTGAGCAGGACAGTGGTCTCTACACTTCGACGCCAAAATCGCTCACTCTCACCTCCTGAGTCAAACCATCAAGATATCATACATATCAAGACCTAATAAACCAGATATATTAGCTCTTGTTCATACCACATATATTAACACTCCCGTCAAAAGTGGAACTCGAGCGGACCTGCGATCAGCATCTACAGCATCCAGTTAGTCGGCATTTTCAACAGTATTGCTTCAAACGTTACTAACCTAACGCTACTATAACTGAGCTAATATGTGCTACATTCCCTTTATCACCTGTAGAAAAAGACACACTCCCATGAACGCCCCAACAACAGAAAGACCCATGAGATGACAATGCATAAACATAGC